CCCTTTGAGTAAGCCCTTCATCCAATATGATTTGTGCCCTTATAAGGAAAGAAGAGAGAAAGAGACATAAACCCCTAGGGAGAATTCCAAGTGATGACAGAGGCAGAGATTGGACTAATGTGTCTACAAGCCAAGGGGTGTCAAGGATTATCAGTAAGGACCAGAAACTGGCATAAGGCAAGGAAAAGACTCCCTTCAGAGCACCTGGAAGGAATCAACTGTCAACACCTTGATTCTGAATTTCTAGACTCCAGAACTGTGACAGAAGAAATCTCTATTGTTCTAAAACACCCAGTTGTGACACTGTGTTATAGCAGCCCTAGGAAACTAATGTAAATGTTAGGAAACTAATGCAATACTTTGTATATGAATCTCATTTTTATGTTTGCATTTTAGATACATAGTTGGTTATATACGTTTTTACACAAAAGTATGACCCCATTCTCAATTGTGTTTGGGGGAGTCACATTCTATTTCAGTTCATTATAGATGCACTGCATTACTAATCCACATTCTAGAAATCTGAAAATGTCTTCAGGAAAAAATACTAATTGGTAATGAGCATTTTTTGGAAAATCTGTCTGCCTGGAAATGAATCAGCCACTGAAATAGTTTCATTTCCTTCAGTCTCTAGATTTTAGAGGCACTGTGAAGTGATTAAGGGATTAAAACCCTAATTCTGTTACTTCTTTGCTGTTGTTTGCACCTTGGATGAGTTTCTTAGCTTCTCTCCCCAACCCTCTTTTCACCAAGGAACCAAAGAAACAGGTGGCAATTGGCACACAGCGAGTACTATGGTCTGAATTTTTGGGTCTCTCCAAAATTCATGTGCTGAATTCTAATCCCTAAGGTGTGACTACTGAATATGGGGCTTTAGAGACATGGTTAGGCAATCCCTCATGACTCACCAATGTCCTTATAAAAGAAACAGCATAATGCTAGGCAGTATCTTCTGCTTTGTGAAGATGGAGTGAGAAGACTCATTCTATGAACCAGGAAGTAGGCCCTCATCAGATACCAAATCTTTTGGCACCTTCATATTAAGCTTCCCAGTCTCCAAAATTGTGAGAAATCAAGCTACATTGTTTTTAAAGTATTGTGGCTTATGGTATTTGGTTATAACAGCCCAAGTGATTGATGCCAGCAAACTATAGAACACGTGCTAAATGCCAGTCTCTTCCTTCCTAATGCTTGTAGCTCACTGTCATGAATTTATGGCATAGAGCAACTCTAGCATGCCACTCACCTGCACCAAAACATTACATGGCTCTCCACTGTCCTAGTGAACAAGGTAAACAACATACAAACATTGGCCCCATCTAATTTTCACCCTTTTTTCTCCCTTACTTTCTATCTAGTCAAGGTCCTAACTCCTATATTTTAACACAGATCATATTTATCCCCTACCCATAAGGCTTCCCAGATCATCTGTATCAGACTTTCTCTCCCTCTACCATATTCTATAGCACAAGGTGAAGGTCTTTTTCTAGGATTCCCAGGAGGTACTTGTGTATGCTATGTCTCATTTGACAGATTATGACCTTCAGGAGGGCAGGGCCTCTATCCTTCCCACTTTGTATCCCCTATAATACCCAAGAGAGAGTTTAACACTTACTAGCTACCCAATAAATGGTTGTTAAACTTAGTTGAGCCCCTATATTTTTTCTTTGTGGTAGATGCCCTAAGAAAAACATAAAATAAATGAATTACTTTTTCTTCTTCCCATTGTAATATATATGCCCTGGGCTAGTGAGTATTTGCAAGCCTGGTTTAGAACTTAGAAAAGTCATCAATCTAAGAGAGGGAGGAAATGCATTTTAAATCACAGAGCAATATAGCCTTACATAAGGCCTTCTAGCAAGGCACTTATTGATGGGCCATAACCCAGGTGCTGGTGTTATCAGAACAAAAGTCTGAGGTTGAGAGACAATGAGTGATCTTAACTTTTATACTTCATAGGTATGCAATTCAATGAAACATCTACAGATGGAAAGTTTGGATTTGAGAATCATATGTGGGTATCACAATGCAAATAATTGGCTTTCTTTCTAAAGAACATCTGTTGAAACATCTGAAAGCAGTTGTTTATACTGCTGCCAAAATGCTGAAAAATATAATAATTCTCAAATGAGGTTAGAAATATCCAGGGGAAGAAAAATGTTTTTTATGTAGTTCTGTTTTTATTAAATCTTCTTGTTGTTTTTCTAATATGGTACATAGGAGATGTTCAATAATATTTGTTGAATGAATGTTGAATGAAAAGCAGAAACTCATTAAACAGTTGTTGAATGAATCATTTCTCTCTTTTTTTGGACTTATAAGATACATTTTCAGAAAATAGTATTCTCACAAAGTTTACTCATGTCATATACCATTTTTATTTGGCATAAATTTAAGTAATGCTACTCTTGCTCTGTACATTATGGGATATAATCAGCACATATATCTATAAGAGAAAAAAATCTCAACACTATACAAAATGTATGAGTAAAACTAGATCTATGATAGCAACATTTTAATATCTTAATATGTTACTTTTATTCATTATGAAAATGTAAAATTTGAATTGTGAACTTACATAATTATGCTTGCTTCAATAAACAAAATAAAAATTTAAAACCCTGCTAATGCCTTATAGTTGTAGTAGCTCTGTGAAGATTCTAATGAGATTTAAAAGCAACAGAATGTTCTGGGATGTGAGAAAGACGACTGTAGAAGATGAAGATGCCATTTCTTCCCTCATTCTCCCTTTCTTGAATTTTCCAGCAGCTCTCTTTTCCATACTCCCAGATGAGTGAGGCGACTGAGCTCCAAAGGCTGCCCAAACTTGCTCTGCCAAGTTTCTGTACAGAAAGAACATGTTAAATAATAAATGGAGTTTGAGTGTAACTAATAAAATTGGAATGTTAAATAGCATCATGCTTTTGAAAACCAGCCTCCTTGTGAGGATGCTCCCTGTGCACGTCCACAGGAAATAATTCTGAAGGGAGTGATATTAATTAGTAATATAGTTTATCTTCTGGAAGCCCTTTCTTTTGATGGCCGCTGTGGTATGGTTCAGAAGCCTCAAGTGCTCAAAGAAAATGACTCCAACCACAATTTCAGCTTTGTTTTCCATCCCTGAATGGATAAAATAGTCCAATTTATTTCTGTATATCTAAGTTATACACATGTATCCTAAAAAGAAGGATTATGAGTTATAAAAAGGTACTTAAGAAGGGTCTTGAATGAAATGGTAAAATGCTTGTGATATAATAGAAGAAAGACAAGAGCAGAATCCCAAACTGAATTTGTAGTTTTTGAGTCCAGATTTCTTGATTTCAGTTGTCTGTCATATACTAGGTTGGCAACCTTGATAAGATAGAGAGTCCAAATCCTGATTCTGCTACTTCCTATCTATTGTATGTGACCTTGGACAACTTACTTAGCTCTCTCTGCTTCAGTCCTCCAAGTATCAAAACCATTGGTCTCATAGGGTTGATAAGTATATTTAAAGAATTAATATATGTCAAGGCCTCAGATGGTCATTGAGTTGAATCATTTATTGAATTCAATTTGCTCACTGAATTGTTCTGTGCCTCAATTTCCTCAATTATACTATGAAAGTCACAAAAAAAGCCATCTTGAAAAAGTCTAGAGTATTCAGAATAGTACTTGGCAAATATGTGATTCATTAGAGTAATATTATTAAATAATATTAACTATTGTTATTATACATAATAATATATACTTATTATTTATTCACTATAATTTCAAGTTTTGTAAAGAAAAAATGCTGGGTGAGGAGGGTTACCTGAAAGACAATAGCCAAATTTTCATTAATATTTTTTTCTTAATATACTTATAGGTAATTCTTTTCTACTTCACTACACTTTTCAGTATGTTTTCTTTTATAATAAACTTGAAAAACTACATTTTATGCTGACATGACTTGATGGAAATTAAGGCAGAAATTCGGAATAGGTTAAAATTTATAACTGATTATACTGCAGCACGTATGAAATATTAATTAAGCCTATTGTGATGTGACAAAAATTTAGATTTACCTTATTTTACTTAGTTCTGAATACCTTCTAACTAGAAATTACTTTTCAAAGCTTAACCAATGTCAATTTTACATTCAGAAATGAAGTCAAATGTTTACTACAATGTCAATATTTTGACCTACCAAAAGTAAAAATATTTTATTTTTTAATTTAAAAAATCCCATGCGAAAGTCCCAAAGGTGCCTTTCATGTTTAAGCTTTAATTAGTAACCACTTTGGTCTCTGACACATATTACGCAGATATTGAAGTGTTAATATTACTGCAGCTTGATTACAAAAGGCAATGATTAATTTTAAAGCAGAGAAAAAAGATATGCCCTGATTACAAAGGAATGATTAAGGCGGAATGTCAGACATTGCACATTTATAGCACTCTTGCCATCGTCTAAGGATAAGACTTTGCAAAAGTTTATATTTAGAATCACGGGTACTTTAGTACTTTGGGACACTGGGTGTTTGTGTCTTGGAGCCTGAGCACCTCAGCTCTTTTAAGGCCTAAAGTCTTCTTTGGTTCACGCACAGAAAACTACCCTGTCTCAGGGGCCCAACCGGCCACCATAGTTTGAAGTTCTCGCGAGACCAGAACGAGAGCTCTGGCCAGAGCCCACCCGAAGGTTTCCCGCCCTAGCAGTGTTGGCAGGTGCCATTTTGCTAAGAGTCTGAGAACTTTGAAGGTCTCGGACCAAAGAAGTGAGGGCCCTGGGAGGAAAAGACTGGCCACAGGAAGGGCTGCTGGCCAGRTGCGCTTGAGACTTGCATGAGGGTGTGGGGTGTGGGGGACGGGGAACCCGGGACATGCAAACTGCCAGCGGGGAAACGGAGGCCCGTGGGCGGCTCCCTCCTCTGGGCCTAGACTGTGGCCCGTGTGGGGCTGCGTCTTGGCATGGGCAGGGACGCGAGATGRAGGCAGGTCCAGCTGGAAACCGGCTAGAAGAAGCTGTCCTTATTGTCTTTCCAGGATCCTCAGACTCGGTTATAAAATATTCAGCAGCCAGAGAAGGATTCGCGGGAGCCCAGGCCCGAGATGAGCCTGGAGTCCCTGTTTCAGCACATCATCTTCAGCGAGCATCAGGCCGAGGAGACTCGTCGGGTGATGCGAGAAGGTCGGGTGTTTTTGCTCTTTGCTCAGAGCTTTTTGTCTTCTCCAGCTGGGAGCTTGGAGAACGTAAAAAGCCTATGGTAGTGATCAGAGCCCTTAGGGGAATCTGTCTTTCTCCTTGAGGGAAAGACAGCTGGAAAGTGGTCTACCAAATGCTCCTGGAATGGGGACTTAAGAAAGATTGATGTGTCTAAAGATTTCATTTCTATTGCAGTAAGGTCAGAAATAACCAGATGTCGTGAAAAAATTAAGAAAGCAACAGAGGAGCTGAATGAAGAGAAAATCAAATTGGAATCTAAGGTATTGACGTGGACAGCATGCTAATTATCACTTGATAAAGCTGGATTGGGGGCAGGGATATTTCACTATCTAACAAACTTGTCCTTCAACTAGGAATCTCTTGACTTTCTGTGTCAGYTTGCTGTCATCCAGTAATATTTAAAGTTCTGAATCTGGTGATAACCTTCGGTTCTAATATGAACTTGCCCAAAAGAAACCAGTTTAAGTAATGAAGAATTCATCATTCACTTCATGGGATGGTTAAGGTTTTAAAGGAGCACGGTGTCTTTGGAAGAATAAGTAGTCAGTTTAGTATATAAATTTGGAATAATAAATAATTGAAGTGTGCTATGTCGATCTAATGGATTGAGCATAATTTTCACAAGTCTTCTTTTGTTTTTCAGTTCTTTGGGGGCATGTCTTTCATCCAAAAGTACACTGCTAGCATTTATCTTTTTGCTGCAGCATTTGTAAAGTTCTGTTATTTTAAATTGGAGTGAGAGTCCAATGGCTCCTTGAAGGATTTTGAAGAGTGGATAAAGTTTTGGAGAGGCAGACAAAAGAAGTAGAAAAAACATCTCTTGAGTCTGCCTGAGTCCTATTGGGGGAGAAATCTAGTCAAAAGTAGAGGACTGCTATCTGGGAATAGGAGGAAACTCTTACAAGTTCATAATCAGGGAGAGGTGATAAAAATGGTTTTGAGAGGATCTTTCTGAAGTCTGATTTGGCAGATGGGAATAGATTCTTAGGAAGCTGAAAATGTCATTTAAGTATGTTGCAATGAAGCCTCACTATGGGTCGAAGAAGATACTAATTAAAAAATATTTATTCAACACCTAATGATGAACTAAGCAAACTGTGCAATGGGACATCTGAGCAAGTGTTTGCTTTACATATATCTAGTCTAACTTATATTGTGAGGAATTTTCAGTTTTCTTTCTGGATAATATGATCCTAAACCTTCTCCACTTGGTGAGCTTCAGCTTTTCTTTCCATATCCTGCTCAAACATCGCCTCCCTGGACAATATGGTAAAATTCTATTAAATAACAATACATGCTTTTGATGGTATCCCCCATTATTTTGTGAGCAATAGATTTAGAATTTTTTTACCCATGTTTTTTCTTATGTCCATTGCCTAGCATATAGTATACATTAGTGTGTTTAATGAATTAGTGAATACCAGTTGTGTGGTAGATAATAGGGAAAGTGCTGTGTTTTTGTTGAACTGACAAAAATTATATCTATTTATAGTTACCTTGTGATGTTTCTATACAGGTATACATTTTGTAATGCTCATATCAGGATAAGCATGTCTATTCCTCAAATAKTATCATTTCTTTGTAGTAAAAAGATTAAAAAATCATCTACAGAAAAGATACTCTGTACATTATCTTTTGAAATACACTGTACACTGTTATCTATAGTCACCCTTCTTTGCAATAGAATGCCAGGACTTATTTCTCCTAATTGTAACTAAGTACTGTTGACCACCATTTCTCCTTCCCTCTACCCCACCCCATTATGAGAGACCACCTCTAACTTAAAAAAATTCAGAACTATTATTTGGTGACACCCTACCTCCTGTTTTGCCTATGAATAGATAAATTAGCTGTTACTGACAGTACTAAAAGCTGGTGTGATGAGCAAAGCATAAACAGTGTTATTATGCTGGTTTTCTTTTCCTTGAAAAAGAATTAAGATACAACTTCTAAGTAACCAGAAGCTAATATAAGTAATATGCAAAGTATATATAACTAGGTCATGCATAGTTAATAGTGCACGTATAGGTGGGCACTGTTCTGATATTTCACCTGTATTAACGCCTTTAATCTTAACTAGAGTCCTGTGATGAGGCACCATCATTATCCCTCTTTTAAAGGCGAGGAAGTCAAAAGGTTAAATGTCTTGATCATGGTATATAGTTTAAAAACGAACTACTGTAATAAAAGTAACAGTTCAGTAATGACAGCATATTTTATTAAAACAGATTTTTTTAGTTCATCTTAAAATTTTTTCTTCATGACATATAATAATACATCTGAAGCTTTGCATTGGAGACAATATTTTTAAAAGGTCACCTATGTAAGTTTTTGTATAAAATGCATTTTTCCTAGATTGGCAAAGATATTGACCTGACAGATAACATTTTTTTTAAATAAAAGGTTTGTTTTTGTAACATTTTCTTTGTAAAAAGATTACTCTTTGTAATATTTTCTTTGTTAGGTACCTGTTTTCACGAAAAATGGAAATGTAAATTGTTTATATATATATATTTTTTTTTTTTTTTGAAGAAAATGTTGAGTCAATTGTTTGTATTAGAGAGAAAACAGAGCACATCTCTAGCATTGTTTAGAAACATTTGCCAAAATTACTAATTAATATAGGCTCATAAATGTGCATTGCTTTTTAATCAGCTCATATACATGGATAATAATACAATTGAATCTAACTAATAAAATTAACATATAAGGGTCACAGTTCATACAACACTAATTTGTAATTGAAATAATTTGATTTATAATTATTGTCATGATGGTATGTGTGTGCATATAAAGATTTTAAAAGTGGAACTACAATTAAAATATAAATGACTAATGAAAGAACTAAAGAAGTAATCATAAATTGATTTCTTGTTTCTTTTATTCTCAGAGTTAATTATATGCCTGCCAATAACAATGAAAACATATTTACTTGAATATTTGACTTGGCATTTATTGACCCATTTGTCAAGTGGAAGCAACGTAAAGAGAAACTAGAACACAATTTTGATAAGGCAGTGCTTGAGCTATTGTACAGTTATACATTCAGAAGATATTTGGGCATTTATTTTGGAGGTTGCTTATGGTCAAAAAATGTATTTAAGATGTACAGTATTCATTTTTTTCTGTTCTGTAAAACTCAGGTAGCATGTAATTAGAACTTGAATGATAGCATTTGCCTTTCAGGGCTCGATGAGTCCTTTAAAATATATGGTTGTGAAAGTCTCAGATTATATAGTATGATTACTTTGTGAATTGGACAGCTACAGTATGCCTGGTTAGGTTTGGTAATATGAAAACAGAAAGATGAGAACATGCCTTGGATTTACATTAATGCTTACCAATATGCCCAAAGCTTCCAATAGTCAAGGAAAGGTTTTATAGAATTAATACTAGAGCAAACCAAAATTAAGGACTCAGAGAACAATTGTAGTTTTTTTTCAAGCATCTAAAAAAGAGTTTCTTCTATTTAAAAAAAAGCCATATAATTTGGGCATTTAATTTTTGTAAACAAATTATATGAAACCTCAGATAATACCATAACCCCTTAAGCAGGAGTAAATGGAGGAAAATCTGAGGCTATTTTATGAATAATTTGTTTATTCTTTCAGTTTTAACTTATTGCATAAGTATAGCAATAATAAAATGTTTTATGAATTTTAAAGAGAAATTATATTGAAATAAAGAAGAAACTTAAGGTGACTTTGTTTACTTCTTTGCTTCAAAATGTGCACATTTCTTTTTTTTAATTGGTTAAAGTTAGGAGCCTTCCAGAACAGCAGGCAAAGTCATATCCTTTAGTACTCTCTTACCTAATTAGGGAAAGAACAAAATCTCAAATTACCATCATTTATAATATTGAAATGGAGTCTTATAATTAAAGTGTTTTTTTTCCTTTCTAAATTTGTTTTATTGAAGAACAATTTACATCCTGCCTAAATTTAATTTTATTATTGAATAAAAGTTTCTTAAAGGTCACGTGCAGTTGCTCATGCATGTAATCCCAGCTAGTTGGAAGGTTGAGGCAGGAGAATGGCAAGGTTGAGACCAGCTTGGATGACTTAGACACTTTCTCAAGAAGTGAAAAAGGATTTGGATGTAGTAGTGGTGGTAGAGCACTCCTGAGTTCAATCCTTAGTGCTGCAAAAATTTTTTTTTCTTAAAAATATGAATGAAAGAAGGGCATTGTTTCTCCCCTCTAATTAACAACTTTTTAAAATGACATGAGTTATTTAATCTTGACTTTAGAAAATAAAATGGAAATTCTGTTTTTCAAAATTTAATACATTCCTATATTTCCATGAATTGTGACCAATAAATTTTTTTAATGTTTTTATTAGTGTGTTACAGTTATACATAATAGTGGAGTTCATTTTGATATATTCATAAATGTATGTAATATAATTTGCTCCATTTCAATCCTCAGTACTTCCCCTTTTCCTCCCCTCCTCCTTTTTTTAAAAAATTCATTTATTTATTTTAATTAGTTGAATGTGACAGTAGAATGCATTTTGATTCATTGTACGCAATTGCAGCACAGCTTTTCATTTTTTGATTATACACAATGTAGCATTGYACCATATGCGCAGTCATACATGTACCTAGGGTAATAATGTCCATCTCATTCCACCATCTTTCCTGCTCCCATACCTCCTCACCACCCCACTCTCCCCTTTGCCCAAAGTTTGTTCATTTTTCCCATGCCCCCCCTCCCCATTATGGAGATTTTTTTTTGGGATTGACTTACTTTGCTTAGTATGATATTCTCTAACTTTATCCATTTACCTGCAAATGCCAAATTTTATTCTCTTTTAATGCTGAGTAATATTCCATTGTGTATATATACCACAGTTTCATTATCCATTCATCTATTGAAGAGCATCTAGGCTGATTCCACAATTTAGCTATTATAAAATTGAGCTGTTATAAACATTGATGTGGCTGTGTCCCTGTAGTATGCTGTTTTTAAGTCCTTTGGGTATAGACCGAGGAGTGGGATATCTGGGTCAAAAGGTAGTTCCATTCCAAGTTTTCTAAGGAATATCCATACTGCTTTCCAGATTGGCCGCACCAATTTGCATTCCCACCAGCAATATGGGTGTTCCATTTTCTTCACATTCTCACCAACACTTATTGTTGTTTGTGTTCTTCTTGATAACTGCCATTCTGACAGGAGATGAAATCTTAAAGTAGTTTTAATTTGCATTTCTCTAATTATTAGAGGCGTTGAACATTTTTTTCATATATTTGTTGATTGATT